AGCGGTTCACGTGCGCGCGCGCGCATCCTCATGTACAGTAGAATTTTTGTAGTAAGTTAGTAATATAGGATTGTATACATATTATTATTTAGATCTGTATCTTGTGGATAGATAAAGTCTAAGGATACAGATATTGCACCACCAAAATTGTAGAGAATCCCTTAAGAACAATAATCTCTCTCTGTACGCAGAATCGTGCGCGCCGAAATTGCGCTATGAAAAAAAAAAAGTGTTTTCGCGTCTATCATTTCGACAATTTGTATAAATGGGTCATACTTGGCTTGTAAATTGCACGTCGATGAGAAGCGTAAACGCGAGACGCCGAGATGAGGATAGTCAAGCGCAGAGAAACCTGAATATCACAATGCCTAAGTAATTTGTATAAAAAGAAAAAGATAAATCTGTAAAGTAAAAAAAAAGAAACTGTTGCGTCGTGATATGTGGGTGTAAGAGAAAATAAATAGCGCGAAATAGAGGCAGCAAAAAAAGATGCATCGTATAGTATCGTTAAATGCGAGAACAAAGAGTTATGCATCTCTTTATTCCTACTCTTCGTATATTTTGTTTTAAGTTTAATTTTTATCTTAGAGTTTTTTTTTTTGTTTCTCTCTTTGATTTTCTCCACTCTGTCTCTCTTTCTCTATTCTTCTCCCTGCCTGTGACTTTCGTCTGTCCTACGTATTTCTCTTCTTTCGAGTTGGATAGATGTACCCATTTTTTTGTGACCTGGTTTAATGTTAATAATTATTAAGAAAAACAAGATTGATTAAACTCTATTTAATAATATGGAATGATAGAGAAATCGCGGCGAGAGAGAGAATTGTATTTGAGATCAATACAATAATACGATTAAGTATACATCTTTGTGTAATATAAATATAATAAATAAAAACACGCTATATTTATCTATACATAATATATATACATATAATGTAGTACTGTAAGCTATATTATAGGTAAAATTCTCTCCTAACTGTAATCCCGATAACTACAGCAGTATTGTAATAATGACAGAATCTTTTTTTATAATGGCGAAACAATATGATATTTATTAATGCAAAAAACATTTTATCATAATTCGATGTAAAAGATTCTTATTCAAATATGATGGGAGTTGCAAGTTGGCAATTTATATAGACTTATAAATATATAGACAGAGAAAAAAAAGTATATAGAACCAAATATATACGAGGGGAATTGAAACTAACGCTAAATGGAAGGGGAGGGAAGTTAGTAGCATGGTAATTCGGCTAGTTCCGCGGCATCTCTTTCTCACTCTAACGTCATCACATGGCAAGTATGAATATAGTGGCAGAGGTATACAAGAGAAGTGGAATAACGTATCGGAGGAAATCCGGGATAATACGCAGAGGTTTAACTGTAAGTGTTAGTCTTTATAAATATCACACGACTGCCATCATTTAATTGTACAAAGTTATTTTAGTAGCCGAAAATTAGGCAGAAATTTATTTTAGTGTGCGTGTGGCAAAAGTGCAATTAACAACATGGCGATACGATCCGTGTTGTCTGCGTATTCTAGAATTTATTAATCCCAACATTTCCGGTATGCAAGTAGATAAGTATTTTTCTGCCCGGTTATTCATGTGTCATGATTGATGAATAATTAATATATTTTTATTTATTAATATTTTTTGCACGAACTGTTTATTCTTTTAATCTCTCTCTCTTTTCTTGTGTTTATAATCTTGTGCTTATATTAAATGTTTAGCCTGATATCATATTCATAGAATCAAAATTTATCGAATAAATTTATCAATTATTTATCGAAGAGAGATAATTTTTAGAACTTTTATAATAGAATACATCCAACAAACTTTTCGTCGTACGAATATAATATCAGCTTTACAATCTGCCACATTATCAGAGTTTTTAGTCATATACGAATAGACTAAGCATGACCAAAAATATCTGATGATCCCAGATGTCAAATATGCCATTAATGAATGCTAATGTATATTCACGATTTGTTGATTTGTAAGAATGGTTTTAAATTTAAAACATTTAGCGCGCGGTTTTTTTGTTCTAGAGACATTTCGAAGCATCTAGTGTTTAGTGATTTTCTCGAGTATTCTTCGTTCAACCGCCGACAGATAGCGTTAACGGTCAACTTAGCGGTTTCAAAAAAAAAAAAGCACAGCACAACAATACACGCGCGGCCGAGTCCGATGAAAATTGTGGAAATGGTGAAGTTGTGGTGTGGGTGTACTCCGAGTTAGGTGAGTACATTAGCGAGCATACATAATCAAAGTGATAGCGTTATCGGAGAAAAGTGAAAAACGTGACGATAGTCCGACGTCGTGCGATCGCATAACTTTATACGCTTTCCTTCTTACTGTCGTCTCCGAGAAACACTTTGCTGTGCTAGAGTGCTGGGAATTGTTTTGCATGTACCACTAGGTGTCTCTCTCTCTCCCTTTCTCTCTCTCTCTCTCTCTCTCTCTCTCTCTCTGTCCGACGATTCCTATCTGCCGATTTCGTCCAACTTTGACGAAGCGAAACGATCGTCGGAAAGGACGTTTCGCGGCTTCGTCGTGTCGAGTCGATCACGATATCGACAGGTGCATCATAACCTCTATCCGGTGTTGTGCGAGACGTTTTATAATTTCGCGAATTGTTTCACGCGTTTACGCATCGTCCTCGTCGTCGTTATGTCGATCATGACAGGTGTATATATGACAGTATACACGCACGCGACTCGCGTGTGCATACACGCTTGTACGAGCGAGGACGAGGCGAGCGGGACGAGAGCGAATCATCTGTCAACTCGACCAATTTTTGTTTTCGGCGAATCTTTTCGGATCCGCTCTCGTCCTCGAAACAAAGGCTCCGTTCCTATCCGCCTGCGTTTTCCCACGCTTCGAGCATCTGAAACGAAGGATGTAATAGATATTTTTTTTGCTATATATACGCGAGAAATTATAAATATGAAGACAAATTTTTTATTAAATTTTTGTGCGAAAGGAGCGGGCGCGAAGAGATTTTTCGCGATCGCAATCTAACAAGTAATTTTAGGATTGGAGCTAATTGCGCGGACATTGGCATTTCACGTGAAATTAAAAGAAATGGAAATGTATATTCCCTCGTGATCGAGTCCACGATTATATCGGTCCCATGTGCACGTTTGTTATCGGATTAACGTGACCAGATTTTTCCTCTCCTAACGTTATAACACGGAGCGCTCGCGAACAGCTGCTCGTATATGCACGTGAGAACTTTGACAAGTATGCATTGAATCCGTAAATTGAGAGAGAGAACTTCGACATTCCATATATATTATTTCGTAGCGCTCTTGATAATAATCAATCCCAGATTTTGGATCTGATATTTCGTGTCTTGATTGAATCGATCCCGTTATCTCTTTTTATCTCCAACAATCGATCTATATCGAACAAATTTATTATGAACTCAAAATGTACGTCAGAAACTATATTAATGAGAGAAAATCGTTAATCGTGTTATTAATTAATAAACGTGAATTTCCTAAATTTTGCTCGTTTCGAAAGATTTTCGTATAAAAATTAATAAATTCATCGAAAAAGAATTTTTTCTCCGTTTCACCCTCTCCCTCCCACCCTCCCTCGCTACCCACACACGTCACCAAATTTGCACGCCGCTATTATATACTCCCCTCTCTCTCCATCTACCCTACCATGATCCAACCTCTATTGATTGCTCTACCGCACTACTGCCCTACTTTTATGGCTTTACCCCACCAACCCTTCGACGACTCTCTCCCCCTTCTCTGTCTCTCTTTCTCTCTCGGACGTCACGTATCACGGCCATAGAGGCGCGGGAGATGTAGAACACATTCTCCCTACCGAGAAAGTGCCGCTCTTGCAGGTGCGCAGGAGGTGCAGCGTTGCTAGGCTTCCGGAAAAGGATTGGGAGAGGAGAAGAGAGAGTGAGAAACCCGAATCTCGGGGGTGCGGCCCCTCGGCTTAGATCCGTATTTTCGACACGTGTTTAGCGTCAGATACAACTGTTTGGCGCTAGTGCTATATCAGCACGTCGCAAAAAAAAAAAAGAGAGAAATTTTGAACGCGATTTGGAAAATTTAGCTCGAAATCACAAGCGGAAGATGATAATATATTTAGCGTTGAATACGAAAGAATGGAAAATATTTAAAGACGTCGCGATAAGTAGGTTTAATTATTCCGGCTATAATTTTGTCAACGTGAAGATCTCGCGATAAGAGATGAGATAGTCTTTGATTTCGTTTTCAAACTGTTCACTGTTTTCTCTTTCTTTAATAAAAATATAAATATATATCTATTTTTTTTAAATAAAATTAATAAAAAATTTAGAGTATTTAAAGAAGGATATTATATTTTATCGTCTATTCTCTTTTTCCTCTTAAAATAATTCTTCTTAAAACAATATATGTTTTGTCAGCTAGTGCTATATCAGCACGTCGCAAAAAAAAAAGAGAGAAATTTTGAACGCGATTTGGAAAATTTAGCTCGTAATCACAAGCGGAAGATGATAATATATTTAGCGTTGAATACGAAAGAATGGAAAATATTTAAAGACGTCGCGATAAGTAGGTTTAATTATTCCGGCTATAATTTTGTCAACGTGAAGATCTCGCGATAAGAGATGAGATAGTCTTTGATTTCGTTTTCAAACTGTTCACTGTTTTCTCTTTCTTTAATAAAAATATAAATATATATCTATTTTTTTTAAATAAAATTAATAAAAAATTTAGAGTATTTAAAGAAGGATATTATATTTTATCGTCTATTCTCTTTTTCCTCTTAAAATAATTCTTCTTAAAACAATATATGTTTTGTCAAAGATATCTTATTCTGAATCGTTATTATTCCGAAAACTATTTTTGTCAAGGAAAAATTGATTTTGTATATCGCGCAAACTATTTGCGACAGAAAAAACATTCGGCGATTTTACGACATTTGCTAAACGTTGATTTAGAGGGTGTGTGTTATCACCATGAATCCTTGCCACGATCGGTGTCGTACGCGCGTATAAAATACACGAATATCGTCGACCGAAACGCACAATCTCGGACATAAATCGCGGACCTTCGCCGGATCCGTAAATCGTCCTGTAACCGCTATGTTTGCCGGCCTCGCGTGCGGGAGAATCAAGGCTGCATGTGGTGGCGTAGGTTTATTTTTGAGAGTCCTGTAGGGCTGTTTTATCTCTCTTCGCGTGGACAAGGCTTTTCGTCGCGTACATCGCGTGCCAAACTCGGTGCGTGCGATATTTATACGATCTCTCGCTCGCCGTTTCGTGCTAAAACGGAAATGCATCACGGTATGCAATTCTATCTCTTTTTTTAACTCTGATAGGACTGGCTAATAAGACAAGCGAGCGATTTTGGGATCCTTGAAAGAGGAAAAGCGTTTTGTTCGGCCTTGCTGAGCTTTTAATCGACTTTCACCTCGCCTGACTATTATACAAATACACCCTCTATAACATACATTTGTCTAACAAATTATCGCCGCGTGGCGTGACCGGCGGCAGTGAGATTTCTTTTTTTAGCGTATCAGCAATCGATAGTTTTAGCCGTTCACGCGAAACCAATCTCGCTATCCGTTTTTCGGCCGACTGCGGATTAGACGCGTCTGTTTCGATATTTCCGTCCTTAAGGATTCCGCCGGTCCTTCACTCCGTCACTCCGCGTGTGCGCCTGGCATTATAATCACTGCGACGAAGTGGCGTGACTCAGCGTAAAGTCAGGCGGCCGCGAGTGATGCGAGTGCGTTCTAGTCGTACACGCGTTGACCCTACTCGAGTAGTATCAAGCAAGCTTGATCAGACACCGTTTCATTTCTATTGTAACTCATGGCCCTGAACGAAATTCCTCTCCGGAGAGTATCCGAGCGAGATTTTTCTCAGGGGAAGATTCTCACTACATAGATCGCTGAAATATTCTCTCACTTATTTTCTTTGAAAATATAAATATTGTTAGGAAATTTTTATTTAATTTTCAATATTAATATATAATTGACATTGTGAGATTTAATAAAATCTCTTATCCTAGAAATATATTTGTGAATTAAATTTGTTTCTTGTATGCGGAGATACAGGAGGAACCGCATTTTTGTAATGACATAATGGATAAACAGATTTATTTATGAGCCTGCTTATATATGTAATAAATTTAAGTGACAGTTATTATTTATTTTAAGTTTCCTTGTCATAATTCTTCAGCGCGACATATTTTGGGAAGCGCTGTTATATATGCGGATGCTATTTCTGTTTGGCACATCATGGTATTTAACAGTACATATCTACGTTTATACAAGTCACTACCATTCGTATAATATCTATGGCTTGCAGCTAAAACAACTTCGTTTATGTCAACAAGTGTAATTCGTCTTTTATTTTCGACTTACGGGTATGTGTAAGTGACAACCACGTTTTCGTGCAAACAGTAGCGAGGATCCAATAACGCGATACGATCGTGCTAGAAGACTATATATAGGATAGAGAACAAAATCGGAACAAAGTGATGCAAAATTATGATCTTACAATTAGTATTATCAAATCGACTCTTTGTCCTTTGTGTTTTAAGCCAGCCAATCATCATTTATCGGCATATTCCGATGAGTTCTTTCGCAACGTAATTTATTACAGACGATATGGACTCGATTGTGATATTTTGTATCTCCGGATTCGCGTGACTCGCGATCAAAAACAATCAGTGAAATTTCGACGAATGCGGGGTCTATCGCTCCTCGTCCGCCGTTCGTAAGGATTATATCGATAATCCGCGCGTGGCCAATGTCTTTATTCTTCAAGGTCATTATGGTAGAACGAGTGAAGGCAACAAGGCAAGATGACTCACACGCGGAATTCGCCGAATCGCGGTCGGATCGATCCGGGCGCGCGGCTGCGTCAGAGACGAATTATAGATTTCGGTGGGTCGGGGAAGCGCCGATTTTTTGGGGACACACGCGATTCCATCACTGTGCTTCTCTCTGTGCTACTCTACCTTACTTCCCGTTGTGAGTCGCCGGTACCGCGTGTCACACGTGTGACACACGTGTGAAGGAACGCGTGTCCCGTGAGCGCAGGCATCCGATAACCTTTCTTCAAGGGAATTCCCGCCCTGCGGATTCGATCGAAGGTACTCGGCCGAGGTGAAGGTCAAGTTTGCTAGTCGCCAGTCGGCGATATCTGATGATTTGCCTGCCATTACGATATCTCACGGGATATCTCGTTTTACTAACGGGGCAGGGCAATTTAGATC